CCCCCGGTGCTTCAGGGCACAGCGGTCTCCAGTGAGCGCATCGCTCAGCATTCGCCCGGAAACATAGCGGTTCTGGGAGGCTCACTACCTCCAAGGAGGTCTCCAGAGCAGCTATATTGGCCATCCCCTGCTGGTCCTCCGCTTCAGGGCACCGAGCTAGCCGCTCTAGGTACACCAGAGGTCAGTCTCGAGAGACTGATTCCCCTAGGAGACTATTTGTCAGCGGGGAAGCTTCTGCCAAATGTGTCTCAATGGGTCCTGCACACTGTAGAAAGAGGCTACTGCATTCAGTTCGGTTCTCCTCCGCTTCGTTTCAACGGGGTGATTCCCACTCTCAATCGGAGCAGTCAATCGCAATCGATCCTCACGGCAGTCACGAGAGAGAGAGAGGACCGGTCACTCACTGTCAAGCAGTTTCAGAAACTGCTGGGTCTGATGGCAACTGCATCCAACGTGACACATTTTGGCCTGCTGTACATGAGACCCCTACAGTGGTGGCTCAGGACCAAGGGGTTTTCCCCGAGGGGCAACCCTCTTCACATGATCGAGGTCACGCGGCGATGCTTTCGTGCCTTAGACATGTGGAGAAAGCCTTGGTTCTTGTCTCAGGGCCCAGTGTTGGGGGCTCCTTGTCGTCGCATAATGCTAACGACAGATGCCTCCCTCACCGGTTAGGGAGCAGTCATGAGTCTGTGGAGTGGCCACCATCTCACTTGGCACATCAACTGCCTAGAGATGCTGGCCATGTTTCAGGCACTGAAACACTTTCTCCTGGACCTAAGAGACCATCATGTGTTGGTGCGCACTGACAACACAGCAGTGGTCTCTTACAGCAACCACCAGGGAGGTCTGCGTTCACGCCCCCTTTACAGGCTGCCGCAACAGATCCTTGTGTGGGCCCAAGGAAAACTCCTTTCGCTGAGAGCAGTGTACATCCCTGGGCATCTCAATCAGGGATCAGACATCCTGTCGAGGCAGGGGCCAAGGCCCGGGGAATGGAGGCTCCACCCTGAGGTGGTGGAGCAGATTTGGAGGGAGTTCAGCCAGTCTCGAGTGGACTTGTTCACGACTCAAGAGACCTCGCACTGTCCATTCTGGCTCTCCCTCACGCATCCAGCTCCACTTGGGCAGGATGGCATAGTGCAGATGCGGCCTTGGCTTCGACTGTATGCCTTTCCCCCGATTGCTCTGCTCCCAGGAGTTCTGGAGAGAGTGTGCGCTTAATAGCCCCGTTCTGGCTGGGCCGAGTATGATTATCGGACCTGATTACCCTTCCTCTCCTTGGGAGATTCCCGTCAGGAGGGATCTCCTCTCTCAGGCGGGGCCTTTCCCCCGCCCGGAGTTTTGGAGTTGTGGATGTGGCCCCTGAGGGGGCACAGGTCATAGATTCCGGTCTCTCAACTGAGGTTGCTGGGACCACACTCAAGTCCAGAGCTCCCTCCACAAGGAAACTGTACTCCTTGAAGTGAACCTTCACTTCTTGATGCGGCAACCGCCAGCTCGACCCAGTTAACTGTCCAGTTGGTTCAGTGTTGGAGTTCTTGCAGGCACGGTTCTCCACAGGGTTATCCCACTCCACCTTGAAGGTTTCCGTGGCGGCCTTAGCTGCTTGCCACGCCCCTCTCGGCGGTCGGTCTATCGGGAGAGACCCACTAGTTACATGTTTCCTCCCCGGTGCGCTGAGGCCTCCGGCCAGGTGGAACTTATGCTAATTGGTGGATTGGGATGCTATTCCATAGCCTTGAGTCCTCTGATCTCCCCTCTCCTTTGGGGGTCAAGGCTCACTCCTCCAGAAGTTGGCCTTCAGGACGCTGCATGATGTCCACTCCGTTTACTTTTTCAGGTTCTATACCTGCATTTTGCGCCACGCCTGGCTCCTTTTCTCTTGCCTTAGCTGTGCTCTTCCACACTAGGCAGGGATTTGCAAATCTGTCGACGTGGGCATTCTCGTTCCCATAGCGTTTTGACACAGCTCGAGTTCCTGAAGGGGAACGTCTCTAGGTTACACATGTAACTATGGTTCCACGAGGGAACGAGACGCTGCGTCTCATTGCCATACTTCCAGCATCCCTGCGAGCATTTCCTTCATTCTACCAGAAGTTGCCGCTGTATCCACCGCATGTGCTTTTAAGCTCCCTGGTCTCTACGTCACCCCGCCCGTGACGTCTCGCCCATCCATTGGACTGATTACACACGTGATTCACAGCGTGGTCACGCTGAAGGCATTCCCATAGCGTTTTGACGCAGCGTCTCGTTCCCTTGGGGAACCATGGTTACATGCATAACCTAGAGACGTTCTCCCATATAGTGATCATGGCTCTGCACTCGCTCAGATATTACGTGCGCGCCCTCAACTTTGTTCTGTGTACGCATGAATAAGTGTTTATTGTAACAGGTATTTATTAAATAATTGTATTTATTGAAGCCCATCCCTCATAGAAAGAATTTGTGTATTATTTGATTGGTAAATTGCAGTCTGTGTGTTTCACTTCGCAAGATAAATTTTGTGTAGTGAATAATCAAGTGCACAATCGAACGGAGTAGGCCTACTGTAGAAAAAAACTAAAACCCATGTATTAATAATTACTGATGAGAATGTTAAAATATTTTAAGCATTTGTTGCTATATGTAGGCTATGATATTTTAGCCCAGTTATCATTTACTTGTGGAAACAACGGTGAAAATGTGCGCCTATGAAAGGGGTCATATGATGCGTTTTCCTTTTTCTTTAGTGTTAGCTGTCTATGCATGTCTGAGATCTGCAAAGTTACACAGCTCAAAGTCTCCCACAAAAGGTTTTTTTTCTATCTAAAAGAGAAGGCTGATCGAGGCCTGGTGAAAATTCTTCAATCGGATTCTCCCTTACATATCTAGGCCTATGCCACTATGTGGAAAAATTTGCATAATGCTGCAATGAAAGAAGGTGTGGTTTCAGGTATCACAGTAGTGTTGTTGCCATTGCCATGTCGTGGAGACATTGTGTGTTTCTTTGTGAAAGCAAAAGCACTTGGCCTTCCGAAAGTGGACGCAATTAGGAATCAGTGATGAAGATTTATTTATAACACTGTTCCAGCCTCATGTGCAGCTTAACTGCAGCTTGTCTACTTGCTTACACACACGTATCATCCACTTTCCACTTTTTTGAACATTAAAGAATGCTAACATATTCTGTTACACCCAATAGCCTACACAAAATAATGATCTTTGAAAATGGCATCACATGACTCCTTTTTGCACTTACCTGTTGTGTCTGGCCTTGCTTTGTGACAAATATAGTGCTGTTGAAACATTTTTTTAATATCATTTAATAATTTCTATTTAATGTAAATATTTTTTTTGCTTACACCTTTTTATTATGACCCATCATACCCATTAACCAGGCCAATTATGGCCTGGTTAAATTCTAATTTAAAGAATAATTAACCAAAAAGTGAAAATTTGCTTGATATTTACTCTCAGGCCATCCATAATGTAGATGAGTTTGTCTTTAGCATTACATCACTAACTCCCAAATTGTGAATTTGTTTACATTGAGATTTTATTTTCAAACTGCAATTGGCATAACACATTTTACTTGGCAAATAAAGTGTTAAATGTAGTTAATTCTGGATTATTCCTAAATTGTTTTCTCTAGTAGATGGCAAGAAATTTGATGTTATACTGCAAGCCTATAAGCAGGATAAGAACACACTAAGGTCCATGATCTACCTAAACAGATCACATCTATACTGAAAGAGAGATTTTCCAGAAGAGCAAGAAAAGATGAAAGATGTACATGAAAGAATCCTTCACTCTCTTTACTGAATTCCGTCTCTGAGCTTGTGGGTGGTTCTTACACTTCCCACATCTTTTTTCACAAGTGTGCTTAACTGTTTAGAAGCAGATCTCTTAGAAGTGGTGAACGCCTCACTTCTTTCTGGGATGTTTCCAAAATCCCTGAAAACTGCAGTTGTAAAGCCCCTTCTGAAAAAGAGCAATCTTGATAGCATCATATTGAGCAACTATAGACCAATATCAAATCTTCCTTTTATAGGCAAGATTATTGAAAAGGTAGTAATAATATCAGGAAGGCGATTAGCACATCCCCAAGTTATGCAGAGGTTAGACAGATTCGACCACAATAACAAAAAGAAGATACTATGTCTGCTTTTGAAGAAATTGATAGCAAAATTTTGGAAGAAATAGTACAGCACCTTAAATCGTCAACCTGCTATCTTGACACACTTCCCACATATTTTTTCAAAAGGGTGCTTAACTGTTTGGAAGCAGATCTCTTAGAAGTGGTGAACGCCTCATTTCTTTATGGGACTTTTCCAAACTCCCTGAAAACTGCAGTTGTTAAACCCCTTCTGAAAAAGAGCAATCTTGATAACACCATACTGAGCAACTATAGACCAATATCAAATCTTCCTTTTATAGGCAAGATTATTGAAAAGGTAGTTTTTAGACAGCTGAACAACTACTTAAACTCATATGGATACCTGGACAATTTTCAAACTAGTTTCCGACCGCATCACAGAGCACGGAGACAGCACTCATTAAGATAATAAATGATATTCGCTTTAATTCTGATTCTGGCAAAATATCAGTGCTGGTACTACTAGATGGTAGTGATGCGTTTGACACTGTAGCTCATAACATACTTCTAGGGAGACTAGAAAACTGGGTCGGGCTTTCTGGGATGGTAATCAAATGGTTCGAGATATGTACCAGTTCAGTCATTTCATTCACGAACGACATGTATCAGTTCGGTCATCTCGTTCACGAACGAGATGATCTCTTGATCTCGTTCAGACTCAAAAGAAACTTGTTCAGTGAAGGGCGTATTCGTTCACTACATTCAACAAATCACATGCTCCGTCACATCTCATACTCGAAGGGTATCGGCTCAAGGTTTAGTCATTCTTTGACAGCAGGGCTGGATTGGTAATCGGGCATACCGGTTATTTTCCCGGTGGGCCGACAGAAGTTTTTTTTTTGCCGATGACCATCACGCACGGACAGCGAGCAGCCAGTGGCCCATTGGTTTGTCTCCTGTATTGACATCGTAAACATCCAATCACAATGCGCTATAGACGGAGGATGAAGTATTTTGCTCCGACTATATAAAGATCGCGTCACCCCAACTTCTTCCTCGTCGGCTTTTCCCACGTTTTCACAGGAGATTTATCAAGAACAGGCTTGCTCTGCGGTGAGTGATGCGGGTCAAAGAGCAAGGCAGGAGGAGAAGAAGAAGAGAGTATTTGAATAGTTAAAGTGCTTGATAGGGACTCGCAACGGCGGCAGGACTGCCAGAATTCTGACAAGAACCAGAAAATCTGAGCATATCACACCGGTCCTCAGGTCTTTACACTGGCTTCCAGTTACATTTAGGATTGATTTTGAAGTACTTTTACTCGTTTATAAATCACTCAATGGCATAGGACCTAAATACATTGCAGATATGCTCACTGAATATAAACCTAACAGACCACTCAGATCATTAGGATCAAGTCAGTTAGAAATACCAAGGGTTCACACAAAACAAGGGGAGTACGCTTTTAGCTATTATGCTGCCCACAGTTGGAATCAGCTTCCAGAAGAGATCAGATGTGCTAAAACATTAGCCACATTTAAATGCAGACTCAAAACTCATCTGTTTAGCTGTGCATTTATTGAATGAGCACTGTGCTACGTCTGAACTGATTGCACTGTATTTTAATCATTTTCTATTTTTAACTTTTAAATTCATTTAAAATCAATTTCTAAATCATTTTAAAAGTTTTTAAGTTCCCTGTTTTATTGTTGTGATTTTTTATGATTATTTTACTTCCTTTTATGTAAAGCACTTTGAATTGCCATTGTGTATGAAATGTGCTATATAAATAAACTTGCCTTGCCTTATAAATATTATAGTCTGCCTTACTCTCTCTTTACAGATAATAAATATATTTAGGAACAACATATTTATATAAAAATAATTCGTCTTCTAAATAAAAACTGAGAATGGACAGAAAGGTAACCATGCTTCTCGCTTAACTATGTTAAACCGAAGTGTCATTTGAGTCTGGTAAGTGTTTGTTAAAGTGAAGATAATATGAATCATATGGGCTTACTTAGTAGGCCTACATGTTGCATCATCTCTGAAATATTAAAATAAGCATTTGTTTGTATATTTGCATGTAAATAGGCTAATTGGGACTTGTCACAGCACATATATTGTTGCTCTTTTGTTGGTTTGATCGCTTCTGTTGTCCTCATTTGTAAGTCGCTTTTGATAAAAGCGTCTGCAAAATGAATGTAATAAACACTTTTTTTCTTTGTCTTTGACAAAATAGAGGAAAATAAAATATAAGCTTTTATTATTATTATTATTATTATTATTATTATTATTATTATTATATTGTGGTGGTGTTTCCCTCCATAAATAAAAATAGCTTAATGATAAAGAAGTTGATTTCTATGTCCTGACTTTAGTGACATTAGACAATTCTGAACTAATCTTTGTGGTGAAAAGATGCAAAAGAATCATTGTTTGACTGGAAGATTTCCATTCCACTGCATTGCCATATTTCTCTAAGAATATGCTTGAATTATTATAATTATGTTTAAATGTATAATGAAAATGAAAATCTTTTGAAAATTAAATGTGATATGAAAGACCACTGGGTCATTAATTGATTTTAACAGTATAGAGAAATACTAAAAATAAGATAAATGACTGAAAGCATTAAGATATTTTCAGTAATATATTCAAAATATGTTAATATTCTCATGGTATGCCTATGGTGAGGAGCGAGGAACAAGGAGCGAGGAACAAGAAGAACACAGGAGAATCAGGATTAACAGTCTTTATTGACATCACAGGAATCACACGTAGGACACGGGGATCGACGTTCAAAACCAGACCGAGAACTCAAAACAGGAAACACCGTAAATACACAAGACATGATGAGGGGAAGACGAGAAGTCGTGGCCTAATGGTTAGAGAGTCGGACTCATAACCCAAAGGTTGTGGGTTCGAGTCTCGTACCGGCAGGGATTGTAGGTGGGGGGAGTGAATGTACAGCGCTCTCTCCCACCTTCAATACCACGACTGAGGTGACCTTGAGCAAGGCACCGAACCCCCAACTGCTCCCCGGGCGCCGCAGCATAAATGGCTGCCCACTGCTCCGGGTGTGTGTTCACGGTTTGTGTGTGTTCACTGCTGTGTGTGTGCACTTTGGATGGGTAAATGCAGAGCACTAATTCCGAGTATGGGTCACCATACTTGGCCACATGTCACGTCACTTAAAAAAGAAACACCTGGGATCAATAAATATAATAGGAACAGGAAACTGGAAGGACCAAACATGGGCATGGACATAACCTGGAGCACGTGGGGGAGCAAAACACACACGAAACACGTAACATTGACTGATATTACTCCCCCCTCCTGGAAGGCACGTCCCACGCCGTAACAACATGTGGGGGGTGCAAGACTGGGACAAGACTGGGACACGGAGAATACCTCCAGGGCGGATCAGGCAGTCCAGGGTGCCATGGCAGCACGGGACTGGAACCCTCTCTGGGCTAAACTCGGGGACTGGAACCCTCTCTGGGCTAAACTCGGGGACTGGAGCCTTCACTTGGGCTAAACTCGGGGCCTGGAACCCTCTCTGGGCTAAACTCGGGAACTGGAGCCCTTCGTGGGCTAAATTCGGGAGCAGGAGCCCTCCGTGGGCTAAACTCGGGAACAGGAGCCCTCCGTGGGCTGGATTCAGGGACTGGGAAGCACTTACGAGGAGCTAGCACTGGAGCAGCAGCCCTCACTGGGCTAAACTCGGGGACAGGAGCCCTCCGTGGGCTAAACTCGGGAACAGGAGCCCTCCGTGGGCTGGATTCAGGGACTGGGAAGCACTTACGAGGAGCTAGCACTGGAGCAGCAGGCACAGCAAGACGCTTTCGAGGAGCTGGCACTGGAGTGAACTCAGGCACTGGAGCCGACACTGGAGCGAGCTCTGGGGCTGGAGCCGACTGCCTTCTCCTTAGATTCCCCTCTAGGTTCAGGGTGAAAGGCGTGGTCGGTGGGCTTGAGTGAGCCACGGCTGGCGGGCTTGACTTCGGAGCGGCCGGTGTGCTGGAGAGAGCCGCGGCCGGCGGGCTTGTCTAAGGAACGGCCGGCGGGAGGGAGAGAGCCGCGGCCAGCGGGCTTGACGGCGAGCTGGTTCTGGCTCGGGCCCGGACACTCCCCAGACACCGGTAGATCGCTTCCCTCCAGCATAGTCCCTTGGTGTCTGGGAGGTCCATGGGGCGATGGTAGTTGGCCCCGAGGCAGAACAGAGAATTGATGGTGGCGTCATCCAATGCCGGCGAGCCCGCAGTATTCCCAGGCATACTCGAAGAAGGGGAGATCTCTGCGGGCTAAGGCGGAGAAACGAGCGGCGATTTCCATGATCGCGGGGAGAAACAAACAGGAAACAAAAAGACTTTTCAAAACTAAAACAAAACGGGGCGTCGCTTACTTTTCTGTATCGGTCCGGTTTTCTGTCACGGTGTTCCTATGGTGAGGAGCGAGGAGCGAGGAACAAGGAACAAGGAGCAATGAAGGAGGAGAACGCAGGAGAATCAGGATTAACAGTCTTTATTGACATCACAGGAATCACACGTAGGACACGGGGATCGACGTTCAAAACCAGACCAAGAACTCAAAACAGGAAACTTAAATACACAAGACATGACGAGGGGACGAGAAACACCTGGGATCAATAAATATAATAGGAACAGGAAGGACCAAATATGGGAATGGACATAACCTGGAGCACGTGGGGGAGCAAAAGACAGACGAAACATGGAACAGAGTCGGACAAATATATTATATATTAATATATTAAATCAGAAGATGACAAGTGTATACCCCCTCTCCCCTATTTTGCAAACTAAATTGGACCCACTATTCAGTTATCGAGTAAGATCACACTAACACCTATTAACTATAGGTACATCCCAACCTTTTTTTTTTTTAGTTCACCTGTGTTCAGCTGATTGTGACTGTATATAATAAGCATAACTGAACTTGTCAGGTCTCACAACTGAAGCAGCAGATCTGATCCTGCTGTTATAAACCACAAAATTTATTTGAATGCAGCATGCCTGTCAACGATGGTAACATGACACAGCAGGGTTTTGATATCAGTATTCGTAACCTTCATGGCATCACACTATATCGCCATCTGCAGATGGGAAGTCTTTCCACACAGACAAACAGTTCAGATTATTGTGCAATGAGTATGCTATACCTTAACACTGCAAAGGTGGCACAGAGGATATTGTTGCAGGGGCCACAAATGCATTTACACAATATTTATATTTGCTGACATTTTTTTTTTAATATGAAGTCATAACTATGAAAACATGAACTAATGAACGAAAATAGATCCTCTTTTATAGATCCTCTGAAATTGAGTCAAAAAGTCCATAAGACTGGATCTAGCTAACTACTATTAGTGCAAATAACAGTCATTCGTCATTTAGCATAAGCAGAGATTCACTTGTGTTTTGTGACAAAGGTTGGGTCTGATGATCTGTGGATCATCGTGTGGCAGCATAAACTACATTTGACTCCACCTCCTTCAATCTTCTTACTGGTCTTCTGCTCTTCTTCTTGTCTAAACTTAGAGCTGAATAGTTAAAGTCTGCATCTTCCTCCTGGCAATATAAAAATTGCAAACATACTATGGATGTGCTCTGCTCAGCCATTTAAAAAAAATAAAAAATATTGATATGGGCCTGTCCTTTAACATTTATAAACCTCAGCACAAATCAAAATAACCTGTAAGCTAAACAAAATTTTGATATGAGATACCTGCTGCAACTGTTTGTTCATCTCTTTATTGTTTTCACAGTGCTGGGCATCTAAACAAAACAAGACATTCATCATTAATATTTGCTGTCCTAACTCAGTAATTATCATTCATGGAGATTATTATTATTAACACCAGAATTACAGAAACATAAAATAAAAAGTTAATCTAATAGTTAAAGGTTTTTGCAAGTGTATTTACTGTTCTGTGTGTGCTAGTGGATTGTTTACATGCCTTCTTTCTGCTTGTTTCTTTCCTTCAACCTGATTAAGCTAAAAAAGTAGGAATCAAAACCAAAGCCGCTCAAGATCAGTGTCAGTGTATAATAGATGTGACAGGATCGCAACGTTTCTTCAGTTGCCCCTGTTAAAACCATTCAAATAATTAAGTAAAAAAAGAGAAACACAAAAAGAACAGCTTTATTACTGTAAAAAAACAAAAATCTATGAAGGAGGAAAAACTTAGTCCCTCTTTTAAAATGCATGACACATACCACAATCTGTATTTGCTGTATCCCATGTGGACTGATTAGTCTCTTTGAAGATAAAAAAGGATACAAATAGTAATTTGTAGTAAGTGAATAGAAAAATACTGAATTTAAATAACATGGGAATAAATAAATGTTACCAACAGTTCAAATGAAAACTCGATTATTACCATTTACTACCACTAACTGTGTTTGTTGTGAAACATCATGTGGTTTGTCAAAAAACTTCCAGAGTCAGAGATTTCCACATTTAAAATCTTCAAGGAAGACAATGTTTTGTTCACTGACATCTCTACATGATTCTTCTTAAAGCCATTAAAATATATGGAGTCTGCTGGTTTTTCACCCACATGTTGAGTAACAATACAAAGTGGAAGAGAATCGTTTGTTAGCTTGAACCAGGCTATATTAGGGTGGAAATTTAGCTTGGTAACTGATCATGCCCCGCTCAAATGGATGTCTCAAAACAAAGGGAAAAATGCCCGAATCACTCGTTGGTTTCTTCAGTTACAGGACTTCCAATTTAAGGTGGAACACAGGGCTGGAAATTCTCATGCGAATGCAGATGCAATGTCCAGAAGACATGACTGCTGTGGGACGGGCGCTTCAAGCGGGAGCCTGGAGCTGGAAAGGGGGTATGTGGCGGCCAGAAAGAGGTATGGTCCCCCACAAAGCAGACGGAACACCTTCAGCACCATGGAGAGCCCCATCAGAGGAATGTTTAATTAACATTTTAAATTGTGACAAATTAATATTAACATGTACATATATTCAAGTGACCTCGATTAATATGAAAATCATTAGGCACGTGCCAAATGCCATTTAAAATAGTTGGAGTGTAGTAAGAAACTTTTTTTTCTGATGTTGGTAGAAGCAGCAGCATGACACTTTATACACTTGTGGTTTTGGACTATATTACCATTTACTACCACTAACTGTGTTTGTTGTGAAACATCATGTGGTTTGTCAAAAAACTTCCAGAGTCAGAGATTTCCACATTTACAATCTTCAAGGAAGACAATGTTTTGTTCACTGACATCTCTACATGATTCTTCTTAAAGCCATTAAAATATATGGAGTCTGCTGGTTTTTCACCCACATGTTGAGTAACAATACAAAGTGGAAGAGAATCGTTTGTTAGCTTGAACCAGGCTATATAACTGGGATCTTTCAAGATGTTTGAACACAGAAGAGAGACAGTAGTTCCCCTCTTCACCATTTTAATGAAAGTTAAAGATGCTCGTTTTACAAAGATGACACCTGAAACCAAGGAAAAATGTCAAGAAAAAAGTGAAAGACATCGATTCAAATTCAAATGGAAGCTGCATTTTGCACTTACATTGCATCTAATCATTGCATTGCACCATGTCTGAAATAACTGTGCATAGCACAATGTTACAAAGTAATTTCTATGATATATTTCACCACATCTTCTGTGAAACTCAAAAGAACATATTATGAAGACTGTTGGTGTCCAAACAACACTGGAGGTCTTTGAAAAATGTACGGAAAAAAAAAAAAATCACAGAATCATAGAATTCATTTTTGAATGAACTATCCCATTTAAACTGTGAAGAGACTAAATGAATGTAAATGTATAATCATACGTTAAAAATTAGATGACAAAGCAATGGCAAACTATATGATATAAACAGATTTTATAGAACATTTATTATATTATATTGTATATACTGTGGTACAATAAAATATATAGCTATACATTGTTATATGTTACTGTATATTTATTCAATTTATGGCAAATGTTGTCATTCTGTAATTGTTCCAAATTCTATAGCAAACATCATAAAGGTATATTTACCTATTAAAAACAGCATCAGAGGATGTGTTGCAGACAAATTAATGTTTACGTTCCAGTCAAATCATCTCAACTGAGAAGAATCAAATTCAGCTTTATTTATTTGAAGAGGGTGTGGCTTTTACACTGGGCATGCGCCCATCTGTGTTAAAGCAGACTATAATGTGTACTGGATAGAACAGTACAGAGGGTTGTCTAAAATTGATATTGCAATGTTATAAAACAATATTAATAAAAATGCTAATAAACTTCTCATAGGTTTGAATTCTCTATTTGTCTTTTTTTATCATATATTCTCTAGTTTTTTTTATTTAATTTATTTATTTATTTTTGCAGAGAGAGAAAACAAATGCCACCACAGCACTTCTGATCTCTGTAGGTCTGTAGACCTAGTTGTACATTATTTATTGTCTGCTAAAATCAGTCCTAAACCACTCAATTTATAATAATTTACATGTAAACAAACAAACCAGTTAATTGTTATTCAGTGTATTTTAAGATATCACATTAAATCCAAATGTACAAGCTTAATGGCAGACTCAGATGCCTCGCTTACATTGCCAAATCTTGTGAAAGTCCTACAACATTCACAAAACTAACGGTCAAGATCAGCCGACAGGTGGAGACATTTCTGTCATAGTATCATGATTCATTTTTATGAGCATGTTTGAAATGTTGTAGGCCATCAGAGCTGGTTAGCAGGTAGGTAGGTCTACATTAACAGCAAATTGTCAAAATGATAAAGAAGGTTTTTTTTTAAATGATGTTTATACAATGTTTCTTCAATATAAATTCTGAAATCCACAACGAGGAGTACAATAGCTGTAGTTAAAATATGTATGTTGGCTAGCTAAATAACAAAATTGTGCACAGTAAGTGAAGTCTGTGAATACATCATTATTTAGAGAATCATTAAATAAGTTGTGTGTAGCTTATTAACCTAATTTAATTTTTTTTTTAGAAATATGTAAGCATAGCGATTGTAGACCAACCACACCACAAACCACATGGCCGTGTCTGAGCAAAAGCAGCCTCTCATCAAATAAAGTGTCGGATTGGAAACAAAGAATCATTTCCTGTAGGGAGTGACAGGAAGTAACAGTTCAGTGAAGAACAAGCCCCAATGAGGTGAATTTCAGCAGACCAACACACACTTACTGAGCTTTAGTTCAGTTTTAGATTAGCAATAGTTGTTTCATTTTATTATTTACCACTACATTAGCAATAACTGTTATACTGTATACAAATCTACACCACTAAAATTATGATTGATTCTTTTATAGTCTCACAGGTGTATAGAAAATTAAAAGGCTGCAAATAAATTATTTTTTATTCTCAATTCAGAATTCGTTGGTCTTTAGCTTCAGTGTTTTATGCTCAAGTGTATAATTGAGCAGAAATACAAGATGTTGGTTAAGGTGTGTGTCTGTTGTTTCCACTCACAATACTGAGATGTAAATTATGACTTCATAACATGAAAACCATATAAACAGTGTTTTGTGACATTTATTTCCAAACGTTTTTGTGACAAAACACACACAAAAAAATCAAGTTGTACAATCCCACCTGATTTTATAAAAAATACAAAAAATTACCATGTCTAAATTCATTTAACAGCACTCTTTTTAATATTTAAGTTGAAAACTGTATGTTTTCAGGAAAGTAAATGTTTATAAGGAAAAGTATATATCTATAATTGTAGT